AGGTGAAAATTTGTATCGTAAGTGGACTACATTACAATTTACAACCTTTGAGTTCAACGATTGGTACTTTTTTACTACTAAAATTATTTGTTAAGGTTTTGCTGGTGCTTTATTTGCTTACCAAACCAAAAGAAAACAACATTTTAGCAGGAGATAGATTGCGGTTTCTAATGAACGATGCTAATGACTTCAGTAAAGGGTAAAGCTAATAGTGTGCCTCTTTTTTTTATACTTGCACTCTACAATCCAACAAAGCTAAATCGTTTGAATATACAATATAAATCGATGGGTTTTACCCAACATTAATCTTTATATTTTTTAAATTGTTTTGATTGAATTATTTATACGTTATACAATGTCTGTGATATAGTCTCTCCAAATAAATTGAGTGTTATTGTTAATCTAAATAAACAAATGAAAGAAGGGTGGCCATTATAATAAAATATAATGTTTTTTGAAATTTTAATAAAAGGAAAAATAATTTAATTGATCTTGAATAAATTTTTTGGATTATTATTATTATTATTATTATTATTATTATTATTGTCTTTTAGTTTGTGTTTGATATATTTTTTAATTTATTTTTTAATAAATTAAAGGTTTAATTATTTTTTTCTTTTTATTATTTAGGTATAATTTTTATTATAAATGGTCAAGTGTCAACCATTTATTGGGCTCGTTTTATTTACTAATTATCAATAACTTTGATGGAGAGATCGTGTTAATTAAAGACACTACACAAATTACAGGACTCAATCAAATGAAAAAAACAACATAGAAACTTAAATAAAAACAATTCAAAGAACAAAAATAACAATTTGAGTGGAACTCATAAATTGACAAGAACATTTTTCTATTCACGGGTGGAACTTATAACGGTGGAAAGTCAATACTTGACTAGGACCTTGAAAAGTAGTTTCAAAAAGGGTGAATTTTAATTTGCCTCCTGAGAGTTGGGGGGTTTCTTGATTTTTCTCCTTAGATTTGTTTGTATCAATCATCTCCTTAAACTTTTATTAAACTTTTATTCTTTTCTTTCATCTATTAAGGTAAAGTAATATAACCAATAATGTAATTAACTTTTTTTATTCAATTGGCTTTCTAAATTTTTTTGAATATTTTAATTAAGCATATATTCATCAATCATAAGAATTATCTTGTTTTTTCAATTAGGATTATATTTTCATTTTTGATCTCATATTTCTCAAATTTATAAATTTCTGACGTATAAAAAAATATTGATAAAATTATATAAACTCGAACTATAAATCTTGTATATTTTTAAATAAATTACATCTATCTAATAATGAGTTAACATAGCTTCTTGGTAAAAGAAAAAAAAATTAACATAACTTGGTATCTTCTTTTTATATTCTTGTTTAAAAACAAAGAGCATGTATTAGTTGTGTAAAATATAAAGTTTAATATAATAAAATTAATAATACTAATATATATATATATATATATATATTTTCCAAATCAAAATTAAAATTTCCATATTAATTCTTCAAATCATATGATGAGATGGATTCAATAAAGTTTAATATGATCAAAAGATAAATATTTGCTTGAGATTTTTTTTTTCATATTTTAGGAAGTCAATTGAAATATAAAGTATTATATAATTAATTATGTTAGTTTAATAGATGAAAATAAAGAATTAAAGCTTTGATAAAAGTTCATGGAGATAAATATGAAAGAAGAAATTAAGAAACCCATAAACTTTAGGGGGACAAATTAAAATTTACATTTATATAACAGGCATAGTATTTCGGGCTGACACGCTGAAAAGGCTTTTTTTTCCCCCTTTATTTCTATGTCTTGTGATCTAAACCCGGAAAATAATGCAATTAAGGCAGCACTTTTGGATAAAGTTAAATTTGATATATAAGGAACAACAATAGGTTAGTGTAGTAAACGAGTTCTTCACGTGGTATTTATTTGTAAAATTGAGGGTTGGAATTTCACTTGCTATAACTTGTAGAGGTGAGCAAACGGTTAGGTTAACCGAAAATCAAATAAAACCGAACCGAATTATGAAATTTGGTTTGATTTTAAATGTAAAATTATACAATATAAAACCGAACTGAAAAAACCGAAAATTATTTCGATTTGGTTCGGCTTTTAGAAAAAAATTTGGTTTCGACCGAAAACCGAAATAAATAGTAAAAAATTTCCTAATTTCTAAATCCCTAACTTTTCAATCTTCATTCTTGCTAAAACCGAAACATGCGGATGAGAAGTAAATTTTGAGGACCGTTGGGGTAAGAAAAGAAAGTGACGAGTGTAATTAATTGAGATACGAGTGTGTTTGAATGACAAAATCAATTACACTTGGACTGGTTTTCATTAAAACCTAGTTAAAATCTTCAAGGGCTTTGTGATTGTCTATAAAAAGGATTAATTGATAACAAGATGTTACTTCATCGGCTAGCGGACTAAATGCTAGTACAAAACATCTCTCTCGTAATGATTTTTTTTATAACAAAATATTTCGGTTAAAATCGAAATATTTCGAAACCAAACGGAAATAATTCGGTTACAAACCGAATTTATTTCGGTTCGGTTTTGGTTTTTATTTTTCTTAATTCGGTTAACCAAAAATCGAATCGAATCGTACAAAAACCGAACCGTTTAACCGAATGATCACCCCTAATAACTTGTAGTTATTGGTATGTCTATATTTGCAAAAAGGGTCATGGCTATCGTTGAAAAGACTATAAACTTTGACTTCTATACGGATGTGGTGGATAGGGCTGTAAATGGATGGGATATTAATTCAAATCCGATATAATTAAATAAATCTCATAAGCAATTTGTTTTATATATTCTGAATTCATTAATTTATTTATTATATGGATCAAATTTGTATTTACTTTAATTCGATTTGATAATTTGATCTAAAGTTTAAAATAGTATTTTCAAAAAAATTAAAATTTCAATATTAAAAAATATATAAATATGAGATTGGATTGAAATTTAAATTTTATTTATTCTAAAATTGAAATAGCACGTATCTTTCTATAGTGACAACTTGTATTTTTTTTTAAATCGCATATAAGTTTAAATTTTGCGACATTGGAAAACCAATTATAATATGTTCTTTATTCTTGTAAAAATTGTTGGTGATGTTCTAACTGTTTTAGCAATTATTATTGCTTCCAAAGCTACATTTAGTATGAAAGGTAGAATTATTAATGATTATCGTGTATGTTTACTTTAAAAGATTGTGTAGGCAATAACTATTACAAGTTATTGGCTTTCAAATCAAAACATAAAAACCTATAATATTTCATTTACTTAAACTCATTACATTTCTTTATGTATTAACCAATTATGAAAATTATTGTTCGCCTTTTTTTTTTTTAACATGCTTATATTTTTTATGTGATAGGAAGCTGTTGTGGAGTTGAGCAATTAATATATATATAAGTGATTGCTCCATTTATTGCAATTTTGATGGTAAGAATCATAACATGTGGAACCAACTTTTTTATGAATTGGATCCCACTTTAGTATTTTAAAGTTAAACATAAAAATATTGGTCAAACTAATTGAGATAGTAGAGATAGACAATAAAGCGTTTTGCATGAACTCTTTTATAACTCTTAAATCTATAAATTATATATTTTTTTCTTTTTGTCACTTCACTTATTGAGAAAAGGTGTAGAGAAAATAATTGGAGGTTAGAATTTGAGACACTAAAAAGCTTGTATTATTAAAGAATCAATGAAAATTGGATTTAAAGAAAAATTAGGAAAATACAATATTAGCACTTATTTAGTTATGTGATATTACTAATATTAATAAAATGACATTTAATGATAATTTTTGTAAAGTAACTTGTTAAAAATATATGATAATATTAATAGTTTTTTTTTTTTACGTGCTTGATTTGTAGTACTATCGTCTTGAAATTTGAATTAATGAATTCTTATTTTGTTACCACATGGACAAAAAATAAAAATCATTTATCATTGTTTTCTTTTAGTTTTATCGAATTTTTTACCTAATTGAAGAAAAAAATTTATTAAGATTATTAGAAATTATTTTTTAAAATTATGTGACATTTTAAATTTTTTATAAAATTAATAGATGAAATATTATCTTTATTAAACGTGGTAAGTATAAATTTTGTAAAAAACTAAGTGATAAATTCGATGGAGTTTTAAATTTGTTAGGATCCGAATCCACATTTTTCAAATCTGATTCGAATTTATAATATGCAATTTAATTTATTTCATTAAACAAATCAGATCTAAATCTATTATAATCCAATTTGAATCCAATACGTTTAGCGCATTAGCAGTGGGTTCTTTTCAATGAAAAAAAAAGGTATGATGTGCATGGAATGTTATAAAAAATTGAGATAATGTACCTACTTTTCCATTTTTATTGCCTAAAATTTGATATATAGGCATTCCTTTTTTATAACAACTTGTAAACCCGTATCGCATTCCTTTTGAAAATAAAAGGAAACGTTTGCATTTATCCCTATAAATGCAGCAATTAATCTTCTTGCTGTGTCCTAGCATCACTTTTAATGCGAAAGAGGCAGATAAAGAGCAGGCCAAAAATTTATTTTGGCTCATCGGCTATTGCTTCTTCAAAATCGTTGCCAAATTTAGTCTGGACTAGTGACTAATAGGGGTTCACCTCTGCATGCATTGCTTAGGAACTAATACGATTACGTTATGACATTGGCAGTATGAAAAAAATCGAGCATGAACATAAGCTTCGCTTCAGACCTTTGCTAAAAGATCAAACAGAAAAGCAATGCAAGAATTTCCATAACCAACAAGATCAATTGTATTTTTTACACACATAAAAAAGGAAACAATAAACAGAGCAATGAGAATGACTTTGTATCTCGTGCTCGTATCCTCAGTTTTCACATTATGATGAAATAGTGCGGCAATCATTGTCAAATAATTGGGGATTAAGATTAAGAAAAAAAAATTGAAGTTATGAAAAAATGCCTCTCCATGCAACTTCCTCCCTTAGTGCAGTTGTTGCCTCCGAAGATGTTCCAACATTGAAGTAGCCTTTCGCTTCGCCCTCTCTGTACCACTTTTAGCAAGCTCCGTCAAAGGTATGACAGCACCAAGTCTACTTATACAGGCAAGATTCTCGGGATCTCTCTTGCACAAGGAGAGCAAAATGGCTGCTGCATTCTCTTTGTTGCGGGGCATTCCAGTTCTCAACAAATCTATAAGAACAGGTATAGTGCTGGCTTTTACTATAGCTACCTTTGCTTCTTGGTTGCTAGCTAGGACTGACAGAATAGTCAGAGACTCGTCAATCATACAGTTTCTGGAGTCTGTAAGCATCTTTAATAAGGCTGTGATAATCCCTGCCCTTACGGCCCTGCCCTTATTCCCCTGATAAATGCAAAGATTGAACAATGCTGTTGCAGCATCTTTCTTTCCTCTTGTGCTTCCATTTTCAAGCAATTCTACCAAAGCTGGTATTGCTCCTGATGCACCAATTATTATTTTGTTCTCATCTGCGAGTGACAAACTGAAAAGGGTTGCTGCAGCATTCTCTCTTGCTTCCACACTCCCAGCTCTAAGAACTTGGACGATTGAAGGAACGGCACCAGCAAGCATTATCAGTCCCTTGTTATTTTCATATATAGAAAGGTTAAGGATGGAAGTAACAGCATTTTCTTGTATCAACGTATCTTCAGATGTTAAAAGGTTTACAAGGACAGCAATAGCTCCTGCTTCTGCTATTAGTATCCTGTTGTCTGTGCTTCTTTTAGACAATGATCGGACTTCAGAGACAGCAGCTCTACGCTCCTCAATGGACCGGCTTGAGAGCTTGCGGACAATGGCCTGGATGGCTGCTATGTCGCCACTAACATCACGGAAAGATCCATCACTCTTTTTTATCCTCCCATTTGCTAACCCAATTGGTTGCTCAACCTTGTGCTCTGCACACCACTGAGTTATTAAACTTCTTAGAACGTAATTTGGGGTCAGTGTCATATGCTCGAGCTTCTGCTGAGTTTTTGGACATGTTGAGTTGCCCGTATCTATCCATCTCTGTATGTAAGACCTTTCATATGTCTGCAGAATTAAAAGAAAAAATCAGAAGGCAAGGATAATAAAGGGTAGATTAGTTTTTTGAGATTTTCGTTCAATATTTGTTAAAGAAAGATAGAAACATTGGTACTTGAGATTGCCAACTATACCTGTCCTGTAGCCACAATAACAGGATCCCTCATTAGTTCCAGAGATATGGGGCACAGAAAATCATCAGGGATTTTAAGTGTATCAGACTTCTTTAAGTCTTCACCACTCTTGTTAACCAAAGGATCTTTCTCAACCACATCAACAACATTTGATTCACTGGCCACCAGATCTGCAGTGTGGTCTTTTGAGGAATTACTTCCTGAATTAGCAGTATCAATGTTTTCTGCAACTTTATGATTGACACTGCCACTATTCTCAATATGCCAACTTCTAGTTAATTGGTTGCCCTTTGGTAACTGATCATCGTCTTTGTCAATTGGCTGGGCAAAGGCAAAAGAAATCTCCCTTGAATTCATTGAGCCATATCTTTTTGTGGCTCTTCGCAATTGTGATCTCACCAACGCAACCTAGTAGAGCAACAATCCATAAATTCAAAGCTCGGACAATAGCATAAAAAAGAGAGAACCACAAATTTCTCAATCCATACCTGTTCTAGCACTTCCTCTGATATGTCAAATTGATCATACGGTACACTAGCCAATGATTTCTCCAGTTTCCATGTCACGCCATGAAAGAGGGTCGTAATTTTCTTGGCAGCTCCATCCTTAATTAGATCACGATATAGAAAACTTCAGAAGAGGTACTCACCACATTTTCAAGAGAATGAGCATGAACACAACATGATTTCGGCAAGAAAAAAAAAAGTTTTCCAAGTCCTGAAATCTAGCGTGTGGGACAAAACATTTCTGTCTAAAGAATGCATCAACACCTGAAACGCTAGATTTCATCATGACAGAGAATCAGCACATAAAACAATCCCAAATTCTCCTTCTTCCTCTTCTTCATTTAGAGGAAGAGCACAAAATTTAGTACAAACATCATTACATAATAAGAAAATTTTGCTATCAAATTATTACAAAACTATTTGATAAATATTGTTTATCCCTTTTAATTACCAAAACAATTGACTAAAAACATTGTCTAATTCAAGTACTAGTTAGTTTATAAGACAAAAATCAATAGATGAACTAATGGGAAATGCTTACGCATAAATTAAAAAAGCCCAACAAACATTCTAGGCCAGCCTATCTCATTTCTTTCAAGTTCTCAAAATAATTTTTATAAAAAAATGCAGCAACAATAAAAGAAAAGAAAACATACAGAATTATTAGCGGATTGAAAAGACCCAGCAACCGATAATAGATTCTTAGCAGACTGGAGAGCAGCGGCCAGATCAGACCACCAATTCATTTCCTTTGACGAAGACGAACAAGAACCCAAAGCATTCAAATTCCCCAGTTGCCCACTTATCTCTTCAAGAAAATGTGTCATCAGTGAAACCCTGCGCACCAGATCCATGCAATCCTTCCTAAAAGCATCACTGTTTTTATTCTTATCGCCAGCACCGGATACCCCCACAGCACAAATCTGGTGGACGAGGTCGAGAAGGAAGACCGCCGTGACTAGGCTTTCCTCTCCGCCGGCCATTTTGGCAGGTGGGCTGGGCTGGCTATCAGGCTGTCTAGTAGGTAGGCGATGAGTTTGGTTTATTAAGGAGGAGGGTTTTTCAGATTAGATAGAGAATTAAGGGTGAGATGTCCAAAGCAGAAGAGAAAAATACAGAACAGGAAATGTTGTTTGTTACATCGGATTTTATTTTATTACAAGGACAATAACAACAACATAGTTTTGTTTAGATAGAGAGAGAGAGAGAGAGAGGGAGAGAGATTCGCGGAACGGAGAGCGACATGGTTAGGAAAGAAAGTTTTGAGGGAATGGGGATACAGTTGGATGTGGAATATTGTGAATTGGATTACAATAAAACCAGTACAAGAAGAAGTAGTAGGCTGAAGGCTGCTAAGTGCTAAGTTGGCTTCCGGGCCATGTGTTTTTCTTTTGTTATTATCATTTTCTTGGTGTTTGTTTGTGTGAAGGAATGAGGTGGCGTTCGTTACTTTTTTTTTTTTTTTGGCTGTTGCAAGGCTGGAAATAAGAGAGTGGAGGGCCTTGTTATCGGTTGCTTTATCTCCTCTTTTATACTTGTTTTGTTTTTATTTTTCATTTCTTGAGGAAAAATAATAATATAAATATCTTTATATGGAAATAAATAAATCTTTTTCTTACTATTTTCAGGTTTATTTGATAACCTTGGTTTAATTTTAAATATAAAAACGGGGCCACTAATTTTCCATTTATGCTTTAGCTTTGGTAATGGAAAAGAAAGACCTTCCTTCCTGGACTCCAAAGCAATGAAAAAGAATTTGCCATTTTCTCAGGACGCGGGATGATCATTTTTCTATCCGCCGGGGATAGCAGGGAAGTTCACTAATGTGCTAGCTAGCACCCATTAAGTGAACTTTTTTCCTCCTCATTTTCATGATCCTATGCCAATATGCACATAGAAAGTCAAGATTAGCGGAGAAAATAAAGAAGAAAAAAGAAGAAAGAGAGATCAATCAAATTATCCCAATTACTACGAAACGGTCTCGCAACGGATACTGTCGTAAAATTCAGTCTAATGCCCCATTTGCTCAAAAAAAATAAATAAAAAAGCCATGTCATTTAGTCAGATTTTTTTTTTAAAAAAAAGAAAATGTTATTCATATAAAGATAAATCACAAAATCTTCTTTACAAATTTTTTTCTCACGTGTTGAGTGATAAGTGGATGAGTATAGATCTCGAAATATATAAATTATTGATTTTATATGAAAATTTCATAAAAAAGTTTGTATCATGATTTATTTGGGGTTCGGCTCCCTGTCCATTTGACAATTCCTTATTTTTCTTAAGTGATTGGTTAGATTAGTGTCATGTCATTAGAAACAATCAAATGGCAATTAAAAAGTCAATGTAATTAACTACTATTTGTAACTCCTTTAACTTAAAGCACGGTTACTATTTTGTCCCGAACTAAAGTGTGAACAAAATTGTCAGCCATTTCCCCACTTTTCTTTTCCCTTCACCCGCCTAAAACAATCTGCAATCATCTTTTTAATTTAAAATAAAAGGAAATAATGTATCTATAAAAATTAGGTACTTTTTATATTCCTCATTTGCATATACTAGCGTATTCTTAACAAAGAATATCTAACTGATGAGTTTATGGATCAAATTAACTGATAAAAATTCAATAAGATTGTTTAAAAAGACAAATACATGTCGCTTATTTAAACATTAACTAATGAGTTTATCCAAATATTTAATTAGTGCAATTCATATCAATTTATAAAGTTCACTCAAAAGCCGACATCATGAAGTGACATCAATTGCCTTCAAGTGTCCTTTTCGATGTCAAAATCTGGTCTAAAAATCTTTTTTTGACTCTTTTTGTAATTCAAATATGCAAAATAAGTTTAGATTACTTTAGTTTAGGAATTAAAACTTTATATTTTCTTTTTTTCCTAATTTTTGTATTTATTGATTTAATTTATTAATTTCTAATTTACTTTATTTTCTAGTTTAGCTCCTAGTGGATTAGGATAAGTTATTTGTACTATTTGTAGGTCTTTGACTATCATTATCATATTATTCATAAATATTCATACTAATAAGTTTTTCACAGTTTATTGTATTTATTTTTTTGGAGTTTTTGAGTATTTGATAATGCTTAAAACATATGTTTGAATTGCTAAATTTTCCTACATTTTACTATTTTGAGATGTCTAAATGATAAAACTTAAGTGCCTTTTGTATTTTATGTGCTAGGTGTGGAACTAATTGAAAAATGGTGTTAAAAGAGTTATTTAAAGAGAATTTACGATCGAGCCAATTCAGCTATTGGAAAACACAAGAAGCGTGGCCACGCTAATACGACGGACATAGAAGCACAAGGACCTAAAGGCACGGGCACGTTGCAACTTGACGCGAGCACGCCGAAATCTGCAGAAGCAGACAACGATCGCGAGAAAGAAACAAAACTTGCGTGATTTGCCGAAAAAGACGCCAAGCACACACAAGAGGAGAGAATATTATGTACCATTTTTGGAAAATAGACACCTTGTATAAATAGAAACCTAGCGGACTAGGGCAAAAAATTTTTTAGGTATTATTCTCATAGGAGGCGACCTTATTCTCTCTCTCTCTCTAGCTATGGTGGTCGCCATAAACAGCTAGACTCTTCTCCTTGGTGAAGGTAATCGAAGCTTTTGGAAATCAAAGATTTTGAGGTGCTTAAACATTAATGTAAATTAGTTTATTTATTTCAAGTATTGAACTTTCTTCTATGCTTATTTTCATGATTATTTGGGTTAATTTCTAATGTGTACGGTTAGTTTATTAGCTTAGATAATCTATAGCTAGATCGAATATTGAATCCGTAATTGTTCAATCCCTTTGATTTATGTAGCAACTAGGAGTGTATGGTTTGTCTGCGTCGAAACTAATGACTCTTAGGAGGATTGTTCAACTAGATTAAATGCAACTACATGTGTTGTGTTGTCTTGCTTTGTTGATCTTTCTAATACGTAAAACCATTATTTGATTAAATCTTAGATCGTATCTAGGGTTGTTAGATAATGAGGATTGATTAGAATACATGTTTCTAGTTGGCTAATCGTAAGAAAAGATTGATTTCAATATCACAACAAATATTTGAATGGAAATTTGATATTTCGTGCACCAAGGATAAATCTCAAGTTCCAAAAGTGGATGTTACCCGAACCAAGGTTTGTTTACTTGAATATTTACTCTAAACTCATTTTTTGAATTTAATTTGTTTAATTTCGGTTATATCTCAATCAAATCAAAACCTCCCTTTTTTTATTTATTTCATGCTTCTCTAGACTTGTGACGACTAATACGATTGAATTCCTCGTGGGATCGATCCCTACTCTCCCTTACTACATTTATGTTATAGGAGCTTAGGAGTTTAATTTGGGTGCATATGACGAGCATAAACAAACTCACACCGGTATTAAATAACTTCATATCGATGCTTTATATGTCGAGTGGAGTGGTATCGGAATGGGATTAACTTTTCTAGTGGACAAAGTGATAGCAATTATCCTAATGAAATTGATCAAAGGATGCGGGACAACATAGGTACATCCAAAATACGGACATGATCGTAATTTTGAGCAATTCAATAAGATTGTCACAAGAATTGGAGAAAATATCAATGTCTTGATATTAGATGCCAACATGTATGATGATTACAATAGGTGTCGCACTAGCAAAGGAGCTTATAGTCGGCATATTTCTTTCTTTTCCTAATTAATTTTCGTATTTTTAGTACAAATTACTTATATTGTTTGTAGGCCTTTGGTTATCATTATAGTATTATTCATAAATATTCAAACTTGGGTGTATTTGTTGTCCTTTATATATATATAGAATTTATGAATACTAAATAATCTCGTATTCATTGCTATATGTTGCGTTACTTGCTAACGATGAAAAAGTAGAACTGCATATTACTTATTCAAACTCGGGGTTTATTCCTTAGTAACGTACAAGATAATAAATTATATGTTTTATGTTACTTTAAAAAAAAATGTAATTTCATTAATATTGAAAATAATATATAGCCATTACAATTTTCACAAGACTCAAATAGACATTATAAGCATGATAATTGATTCTAATCAAGTAAAAAGAAAAAACTTGCTCACTAAAACAAAAACTATTAACCTTTCAAGTAGCATACCGTTCTTTCTATTTTACGAACTTTCAAATAAATTTTTTGAATTTTCACTTATTATACTATTCACAATGTGACTTTTTTCCGTGTGTCTCAAACTCAAGAATCTTTAGTCATCACTTATCAATAGGAGAATAAACCGCATTATCAAGTCTTATCGATGAAAGTGACAAATCTGCGATTAAGTGTTGAAATCTCTTTCTATTCACAAACACAACAACTATATCACGTCAAATTTATTTAAAATTGTAATTCTATTCTCCGATCTACTATAGATTTTCAAATGAACTTCCGAGTTGATACAAATGAATAACAAAAAAATTTTAAATATTGAAAACAACAAGCTAAATAAAACTAAAAATTTCATATCATATGTATCTAAATTCATAATTATTTGGACTATTGAAAACATCATATTAAAAATTAGAAACAAAATTATTAGTAAGAAAGATTAAGGAGCTACCATGGATGATTATTTAATCATTGACGATAGCCCAAAACAATGTTATTGAAAAGGTATTTATGCAGAGGAAAAAGCGAGAAAGAGAGAGCAGCTAGGATTGCACATTTAGCCTCCTTTTGTTTTATATATGTTATTTCAAGTAATGAGTAATTTGTTAGAGGAGAATGAATCTCTGATGAAAATAGCAGTCACATGCACTAGCTATATAAGGAAAAAAAATTATATGATCCAGGCATATAGATTTTCTTTTGGTCCATACAATACCTCAGTGGTGAAAGAAAACTACAGCATGAATAAAGAAAGAAAACAATTGAAATTATTGTCACAAAAGCATCTTGGATGATACTGTCGTGATCTTTAAGATACCTATTAATATTAACAGCATA